AGGGAAGGAGAGGAATCCGTTGATAAACATTAAGCTAAAAGAAAGGTTCCACAGAAATAATCATATGACAACAGTACATTACCTTACTTCCTCCTTGCACAACCATAACAGTAACTTTGGGTTCTTGGTGTCAGCAGGATGCAGAAAGCTAAGGGAAGAGAATTAACCAGCAAAAACATTGTGAGAAATAGAAAGAAAAAATAACTGATAGTACTAAGAACCTGATTTAGCTCGGCTGATTTCTATCTACACTAGATGAAAAACGCTTACTCGTTAAACTCTGTTAAATTCAGAAGACCATCACCATTTGCATCTGATGCATTAAAATGCTCCTCCTTCCACCATCCCATGTCATAGCCAAAGGAATTATTATCTGTTTAAGTTATAACCAAGTCAGCTGGCAGAAGAGCTAGAACCGAAACATATATTAAACCAAATCAATTTACAATTCTGTCATCAAATGTTTCTGCATGATCATATTAAGTAGCAAACATTTTAGTCAATGAAACTCAAAGAAGAGACAGGAAACTGCAGCTCACCTGACTTACGGACCCAAGAGGGTGGTTCATATTCAGAGAAAGAAATAAAACCATCCTTGTTTCTATCATGAACATCCAGGTCTCTTTGAGTTCTGTGCACAACTTCCTTGGCAGAAGACTGCATAGTCCACTCAGTCAATTCACTCTCCGTCACAAACCCATCAGTAGGAGAAACATCAATCTTCGGAAACAACAACATCAGCCTGCAAAGTACCAATCAATCAAACTCATTCCTTACAAAAGTGACATCTTTAGTTTATGCTAAACTAAATTCTTGTAAGATCCAAACTTTCAAGGAAATTGAAGTACACATTTTTGTAATTAGCGCTCAAAATCAAAGATTGGGAATTGAAGATATGTAAGTATGGCCAAACCTATCAGTGACATTGAACTTCTCCTCATCATTCAAGTAATCCTCAGCATCCATGAAATCTTCCCACTCAGGCTGAGACTCGTGACCAGGTGCATGTTCATGTCCACCACCGGTTGTTTCTTTCTGTGAATGAGAGACAAGCTCCGGGTGAGAATGGTCAATGTACTGTCGCTCCCACTCCTTATCCTCACGACGGCGCTCCATGTCGGCGACAAGAGGATCGAACGGAACTGGATCGTGACGAGTGGGTTTGAAATTGAAAGAAGACCGGAGTTTTAAGCGGTGGTGTTGGTTGTGACCACCGTGGTGGTGATCGTGGTCACCCTTCTTCTTCGGGGAATAAGAGACGAGGAAGAGCACGAGGATCCCCACCGTGATGTATAGGATCACCGAAGCTTTACCCATTATTTTGTGGTACAGAAGTAGAAAATCTCAGCTTGGAACCCTAATTTCTTTTGGCAAAGTTGAGGTTTTTACACTTGCAAGTGAAGAAGATAGATCTCTTGAAAGAAAAGATGGAGTCTTGCGGATAAATATATATATATATATATATATATAATGTAAAATATACTGTATAACTCTACAAGATTTTGACTCTAGATCTGTTACGACCTTTTTTAGTCAAATAGCTTGTATTTATTTATGAGAGCCTAAACACAACACAATAACACCATTTATTTATTTCCATAAACGCAATTTATTCAATGATTAAACGAATTTAGTAGATACATCATTTTAACCCAAAAAATCTAAGACAAAAACTAGATCTCTAGTGCAACAACCACTTTAAATTTGTGCTAAAATTCGGTCTTCTCACGCGGTTGGCTGTAATAAACTCGAAAGAATGCTTCAATGCACTTAGGAAGTTGGCATGTTCAGAGGTTTGAATTCATATCGCTATCGACAGGTTTAGTAGTAACATTTTGATACAAACGATGATTCTTTGTTCCGGTTTAGAAAAATTTAACCGTGTATATGTCGGCTAATTAGAGATGGAAACTACCTACCGTTGGACTCAACTCCAATCAAAGCTTAGTCATTGGAATTAGAGTAGATCATCCACGTGGTCCAATCCATTACCATCTCCATCGATATTATACACACAGATGGGTGTGTGTGTGTGTATTGGATCTCACGATTTCTTATCAATGGAATTTGCTTCTCTTTCTCAGATCCCCATCCAACTCTTTTTATGAGAACCCATCTCGTTTTTGTATTGGATATAAGTAGATACATATATACGTATATACTCGAACTCGATCCACTACGGTTGTTGATTTGGAAATGGACAAGTATGATATTGTCAAGGATCTGGGGGCTGGGAATTTCGGTGTGGCTCGCCTTCTTAGGCACAAGGACACTAAAGAGCTTGTTGCCATGAAATACATCGAGAGAGGCCGCAAGGTTTGGTTTTTCTGGAAAAAAAGTCTTGTCTTTTTACTATCTGGGTTCTTTAAGTTTTGAATTTGGGGTTTAACTCTTACTTTTAGCTCCGTGGATATGATCAAAATCATAATTTGAAGTCTCCTTGCTAGGCATTTTGAGAGAATTTGTATGAACTTGTGAGAAATTGGGGGCTTCTTGATATGAACAGATCAAAATGATGATGATTTAACTTTTGGATTGTTTGGTATATGTTGATCATGGATTGCAGATAGATGAGAACGTGGCGAGAGAGATCATCAACCACAGATCACTTAAGCATCCTAATATCATCCGGTTCAAGGAGGCAAGTCTCTTTCTTTTTTTGGCTCTTTATAGTTTACATAAGAGCTCTCTTGGGATCTGATTTTGATTCGGTTCCAGGTGATTCTGACACCTACTCATCTTGCTATTGTGATGGAGTATGCTTCTGGAGGAGAGCTCTTTGATCGAATCTGTACTGCCGGTAGATTTAGTGAAGCTGAGGTTCTTTTCTCTCTTTTGAAGTCTTATACTTTGATCCATATATTCTTCGACATTTTCGTTGATCTTTTTTATATGTGTGTATAAGTTTTTGCTTTTGATCTTATTCATTTCAGGCTAGGTACTTCTTTCAACAGCTGATTTGTGGTGTTGACTACTGCCATTCCTTGGTATGTATATAGTTCTTCCAATATTCATTAAGCTGGAAAGGAAAGTTATGTGCCTGATTAGGCATTTGTGGAGAAATATCAATGTTTTGTGCCTAGATTCTTTGTTTGAAATCTTATATTTAATGCCTCCGTTATTGTGTAACCTTCCCCTCTCTTTTGTTTCTGTGCAGCAAATATGTCATAGAGACCTGAAGCTTGAGAACACACTGCTCGATGGGAGCCCTGCTCCGCTTTTGAAAATCTGTGATTTTGGTTACTCTAAGGTCTGCACTCATTCATTTCCCTTTTCTTCTTTGCTCAGTTTTCCTCAATCTTCAATCCAAAACAGATTATTATGTTCTTTAATCAAAAGAATATTTATCTATCCACTGGTCTCTTGATTCTTATATTTTTTTCTATTGTGTAGTCATCTATACTACATTCTAGGCCTAAATCGACTGTTGGAACTCCAGCATACATAGCACCTGAAGTTCTTTCACGAAGAGAATATGATGGCAAGGTACACTACTAAAAATCACTCATGTCTTGTTAGTTCTTATACATGAGTGGTTGTCAAAGTAAGTAAATAATGTCAGAAAGGGAAAAATATGAGAAGGAAACAAAGTTAAAGACTGCTCAAAAATCTATGCTCTAGTTGGTTAAATATAGCTCTGTACTGGCGTGGTCTGTGTAAAATGTTTCAGGTTATTGTACTTCCATTAAGGTTTAAATGGATCAGTCTCTACTCATGTCCAAGCGTAGGGTCTGAACAAAAAAATAAAATTGAAGGGTTGATAATCTATATGAGTAGGATGTTTATAGGTCAGTCTCTATAATCATAATTTGCATGATTGTCATAGAGCACGTAGACGCTGGCTTTGGCACTCATATGACTGCATTTTTTGTAGCACGCGGATGTGTGGTCATGTGGCGTAACCCTTTATGTGATGCTGGTTGGAGCTTACCCGTTTGAGGACCCTAATGATCCAAAGAACTTCAGGAAAACAATCCAAGTAACTCCACCATTCAACAATTCTGATTAACCTCTATTCTTTTTGGTCAAGTGTCTCAAATATGTAACAATTCAAATGGTATCCTGCAGCGTATAATGGCTGTACAATACAAGATCCCGGACTATGTACACATATCCCAGGAATGCAAACACCTTCTCTCTCGCATATTCGTCACTAACTCCGCAAAGGTACCTTAAACCATTCCGGTATTCAAATTTCAAGCTAGATCTTTTAAGGAAGATGTGGTTGCAGTTCTGATTGTTGCCAATAACATTTGTGACAGAGAATCACGCTTAAGGAGATCAAGAATCATCCGTGGTACTTGAAGAACTTGCCAAAGGAGCTGCTAGAGTCGGCTCAAGCAGCATATTACAAGAGAGACACGAGCTTCTCTCTTCAAAGCGTAGAGGACATAATGAAGATAGTTGGAGAAGCAAGGAATCCAGCTCCATCTACTAGTGCTGTCAAAAGCTCGGGCTCAGGAGCTGAGGAAGAAGAGGAAGAGGACGTTGAAGCTGAAGTGGAAGAAGATGAAGAAGACGAATATGAGAAGCATGTCAAAGAGGCACAGTCTTGTCAAGAGCCACACAAAGATTAAAAGGCAAAATGCTCTCTAATTCTGTTTTTATCATTTCTTCTTCAACAACACTGCTTCGTGACTTGCTTCTGGTAAAACAAAAAAAAAAACGTTTCTCAAAGCCAAAGGCTGTAAACTACTACTACGTGCAGGTTATCTCATTGTTTGATTTGATGTCTGTCGTTTTGTCAATTGTTTACTGTTTAGTGGTTCTCAATAAATGAAATCAGTTTCCGAAAGTGAAGATGATGAAATCATTTCTTGAGAAATAGAATCTAAATCCGAACCGAACCAAAACCGAAGTTTCTTTGTAAATTATTTGACTAGAACCTGAATCTGAACCGAAACCGTGCCATACCATCTATTCTAAACCGGAAAACCGATAAGACGGTAAGACCGAACCGAATCCTTACCGAAACCGGGATTGAACACTTAAAAGGGGGAGAAGCCCTACTAAAGTGCCTCTCTCAATCTCAACTAGTTTCAAAACAGAGACAGTCATGGGAGGAGAGAAGAGGAAATCTAGTCTCAAAAACCTAGCTAATGCAAAGAAGAGGAAAGGACCTCACTTACCTAGCTCAATACTCAAGACCATTGCGAATGAGAAACGCCCTTTGAACTCTGACGAAGGAGACGATGAGATCGATTCCGACTACGGTGATGATTTGTACGAGTACGAAGAAGGTGTGCCTGAAGAGGAGTCAAGGAAAAACAAACGCTACGACCGCGTGGATAACTATGAATTCGAGCTTCCCCAGGATTTCGAGGTTTTTCGCAGTCTTTCTTTGTTTTAACTGGCTGTTAATCGACAAGTAACATTGTTTGGGTAACACGTAATAATTTAGGTCAAAAGTTGTTTTAAATTGTTTTGCTGGTAAATTGTCTTTATTCCAACCAAGGATGAAAACGTGGAGTCAGAAGATGATGATGATGATAGGCACACACGGATGTTGAAAGATGTCACTGGATTGCCAACTGCAGCCTTTCAAGGTATTGAGACAAGTAAAATTTGAGACAGAGTTTTGCTTTTTATCTTCTCTTCATTGCATTTTTAAGCTTGATCTTATACTCTCAGTTTTTTCAGGAGACAGTAAGAGCAAACGTGTACTCATAACTGAACCATATCCAGAGTCTGAATTCAATCCTACCCGTGATGTTCTGGAGGGTAAATCCCTCACCACAATTGATGACCTTATGGAGCCTCTTCAAGGATTACCTGGATATAGCCAACTACGCGATATGATCTTCCGGATGCGAAAAGATACTCAGTCTCTTGTTCATGCTCCTCTGACAAAGCAAGAACGAGAAAAACTGGAACGGAACGTAGTGAAAGAACTAGTTGACAAGGTATTTAATAATTGGGTGCCTCTTGTAAAGAGGAATAGAGAGGCGCCAACTGTTTACTTTAACCAAGATGTCAATGTTGGATACTCTACCGTTGGTGCTATAGCATCACAGTTTCAGCCCAGGACTGGATTTGAGATGAAAATGGCGTCTCTACTCGATGATAATGAGATTTGGGAGGCTCACAAAGAAGATGGAGCTAGGCTTCTTGAATTCAACGAGGCAAGTTTTGTGATCTAGTTCATAATTCCCTGCACGCAGAGCTTACTTGACTTATACGAATATCTGATGTAACTGTTAAACTTTTGATGCTGCAGGTATCTATGGAAGATCACATCAAGAGACGTAACCATCTTGCTAAGATGCGTAGCATGCTCTTCCGAGTTGACCTGAAAAGTAAACGAATCAAGAAGATTAAGTCTAAAACTTATCATCGCCTTAAAAACAAAGACCTGAATAAATCGGGAGTTGGAGCATTCATGGACCCAGAAATGGCTAAAGAAGAGGCTAAGATGCAGGAGGTTAGACGAGTAAAGGTGAGTCTAAAATTTCCTCTTCACTGCACAAAATTTTCAAATCAAGACACTGTAAAAAAAAAGGCGATAATTTTCTTATTTGTTCATATGTTATGTGCTTATATGTGCAGGAACGTATGACTTTAAAGCACAAAAACGCAGGACCATGGGCCAAACGCATGCTAAGGCTTGGACTGAATAGGAAGTACGATGGAACTCGGGCAGCTATAGCTGAACAACTTCAGATTAATGCTACATTGTCCAGAAAGATGAACTCCACAAAAGATGAAAGCAGTAGTGATGAGGAAGAGTTGAATGATGGTTCAGATCAGGATACTTGTAAACTGATAGCGGAAGCAAAGGAGAAGACACTGAGAACTCTGGAAGATGATGAAGTCCCCATTTCTGGTCTCATGTCATTACCTTTCATGGTAATTATTGCTTTGTTTTCTCAAAACACTTTTGAATTTTTTTATTCTGTTTTTTTCGCTCATTCATGTTGTTGGTTTGGTTAGGCTCGTGCTGTGAAAAAGAAAAATGAGGAAGCTAATGAAGAAGATAAACGTGGACTTGAGGATTATGAAGAGTTTAAGAACTCTGGTGGAGCAGAAACCTCTAAAAAGTCCACTAATGTTGGTGGTAGAAGAGTATTTGGGGCAGAAGCTCCAAAAGAGTCTAAAAAGGAATCAGACAACTTTTTTAATAACAGTGATAGTAGTGACAATGATATGGATGATAATGACTTAGAGGCTGTAAAAGATAATGCTTCACCAGCTAGAAACACTAAAGCCATTATGGAAACCGAGGTACCTTCTCCGGTTAGTCATAATGGTTGTTTCTTCTCTCCCTTTCAAAATCTCTGATTACAACATCTGTTGTTTGATCTCCTGCAGAAGGAGACGAAAGATGAAGAAAGTGATTATGATTCAGAGAGTGAAGCAGAGGAAATGGTTGATGGGATTTTGACATGTTGTTCAAAGGAAACCTATGAAATTCCTTGTCAGGCAGAGCTTGTAAGGCGTGCTTTTGCTGGTGATGACGTTGTAGGTGAATTTGACAAGGATAAGCAAGAGGTACTAAATCAGGAAGTTCCTGAACCCGAAAAACCAGTTCAAGTTCCTGGTTGGGGACAATGGACCAATACCCAAAACAAGAGAGGTTTACCATCAAGGATGGTTAGAGAACACGAAGATGCCAAGAAAACGAGAGAGCAAGCTCTCAAAAAAAGGAAAGACGGTTCTCTCAGACATGTTATCCTATCAGAAAAAGTCGATAAAAAGGTCAGTATCTTGCTTAATATGCTCATCAATCATAACCATCCGATCTCATGCTGACATAATCTATTGACAGGCTGAGAAACTTCAAACAACGAGTCTACCTTACCCTTACACATCAAAGGAAGTTTTTGAACATAGTATGCGTATGCCTATTGGACCTGAGTTTAATCCCACAACTATAGTTGGAGATCTAAACCGACCTGAGGTACCTTTTCATTAATTTGTTAAAACTCTCATTAGTAGTGCCCATTTTGCAAATGTTGTTGCATTTTTTCTTAAACCCTGTGGCTTTTAAACCTTTGTGTACAGGTTGTGAAGAAAGCTGGAATGATCATTAAACCTGTCAAGTTTGAGGAAGTAGATCCGAATGAGAAAGTAGAGGACGAACACGCTCGTAGCCATCAGAAACAAAAACCCAAAAAGGGTCGTACGTTAAACCAATAGAGATTAAAGCAAAAGCCAAGTCCAACTCCAAATATTTTCCATCCTCAGACTTATTTAGACACAAATTTTGATCCCAATGGAGCAATTTTGCTTTGTAATGTTTTTGTCTAATTAACAAAAGAGACATTTTGTTTGTTTTCAAATCTTTGTATCACCTTCTTGTTCCACTCCTTGTCTCCTTTGCTGAGATGATTCAGTAATGGAGACCTCACTAAGTTGTATCTTAATAGAGAAACATTGATACCTGATCAAAAACCTAAGCTGTTGCGCGCTAAACGCAACTGTTTTATTGAGGAAGCGGTTGGTACGGAAGCATTAACCCACATCCATCTTGGTTATTTTCGGTTCTGCATGGATTGCGGTTATGACACAATTTCCTCTGGTCCAACTACCGGTTTGCATCTGGAAATCGGTTTGGCATAATTTGATTACATCGTTTTGGGTTTCTTATCGGGCTTTTGTATGGGCTAGCTAGCAGTTATCAGGTTTCATAAACAACTTACCGTTTTGTCATCAGCTATAGAAAACATTTCAAGCAATGGGAGCAAACTACATACCGTTTCTTATCTGTTGTTCGAAACGTCATCGTTTAAGGCCAACTCTCTGCTTCATTTCCTATCCCTTTAAAACCCTTATCGTGTTTGTTTCCTGTAAAACCCCTCTCGAGATTTTCCGACTCTTGTCCTCCTTATCCTCTAAATCTCACCGGTCACCGACGACGGGAACTTGGTAGTTTACAGAAACAAGAAATGTCCTTGAAGTTCCCTCTCGGTGTACGCTTCATCACTCATTCTCTTCCTTGTACTCGTCTCGCTTCTATGAATTCTGGCGCACTTATCTATTCATTTCGTTCCGTCCCTGTTCTATCCAAAGCCTTTCCTTTTAGGTTAAAGTACATTGGATTAGGTTCTCGGGTCAATTTCTCAACCCGACCAGAGAGATCCCAACCCGAATTCGGGCGGCGAAGTGGAGCTGGGGGAGATATTCGCGCGTCCAAGAGCTTGATTGAGGATGAGGCAGAGCTTAGTGATTGGGTGAGCGATTTAAGGACTAGTTCGTTGCGTGGGAAGTTCACAAGTGACGAAGAGAACTCGGATCCAGAGGTGGTGCGTAGAAACGTAGACAGGGACAACAGTAGGGGTCCAAGGAGGGGAAGTGTAGGCCAATCTGATAGGTTCGGTGGTGCGAAAAGGGGAAAGGAAGGTGAGATGGATAGGTTTGGGAGTCCGAACCACAGGAGAACCAGCGGCGAGCCGGCTGATTCGTTTAGGAACAAGCGGTTAGGTGATCGAGAAGGTTCAAGGAACGGTCGTGTCCAAGGAAAGAGTAGTGACTCCTCTTTTCGTGGAAGGAATGATAGAAATGTAGATTCAGGGTCGTCTTTTCGTGGAAGGAATGAGAGGAATGTAGATTCGGGGTCATCTTTTCGTGGAAGGAATGAGAGGAATGTAGATTCAGGGTTTAGGAGAGAGCAAGGTTTGGAAAACAACAGGGGCTTGGGGAAACAGACAAGAGGTTTAAAACAGGAAGAGGAAGATAGTAGTGAAGAGGACGAGGAGAGAGTGTTATCGGGAACCATTGATGAATTGCTTAGTGAAGATAGTAGTGATGAGGATGATGAAGATGATGAGCCTCTTATTAAGAAAGCGGCTTCTGCTAAGGCTGTTCAGACTGATAAGCCAAGTGGTGAACATGTCAAAACTTCAGATTCTTACTTGTCTAAGACAAGGTACATTATTTTCACTATGTGACTTACTTTGACCATTTAGTGTTGTTTGATTGATAATACTCTTTATGGTAAATTGTTTACAGATTTGATCAATTCCCACTCTCTCCCTTGTCGCTAAAAGCCATCAAGGATGCGGGATTTGAGACAATGACTGTTGTGCAGGAGGCTACTCTTCCTATCATTCTCCAAGGTGAACTTTTCTTCATGAGCCTTGTTTACGAGCAAAACGAAAAAAAAACGCCATGATTTAGAAATGTAGTGACAATTTCTAATTGATGACATCTCACAAGCTTTTACAAATCACTTTGGCAATAGCCAATAGGTATTTCAAAGAGAACTCAAAATCTTGTGTATCTCTCTTCCGGATCCCCTCAAATTTGCCACGACTTCCATTAGCTTGATTGATTGTTTAAATTCCTCTTAACTCCTTGCTTTCTTCTATGCTCTGTCTTTTCAGGTAAAGATGTCCTAGCCAAGGCCAAAACAGGCACTGGGAAAACCGTTGCATTTTTGGTGAGACATTCTACTCTCTGGGTTCATGGATATAAGTTGGTTGGATAGGAATTGATCGGGACTTCGATTGGGATATGTTCTTACCTCTTATCGTTGATGTTTATTTTTCAAGCTTCCAGCAATTGAAGCTGTTATCAAATCTCCCCCTGCAAGCCGGGATAATAGGCAACCCCCAATTATTGTGCTTGTGGTATGTCCTACTCGGGAACTTGCCAGTCAAGCTGCGGCAGAAGCAAACACCTTGCTGAAGTATCACCCATCTATTGGTGTTCAAGTTGTGATTGGAGGCACAAAGCTTCCTACAGAGCAAAGGCGTATGCAAACGAATCCTTGCCAGGTAATAAGAGATTTCTTTTGTCACTCCAGGTGTATTAATGTGAAGTAAATCTTGCACTTCCTTAAGCTGGGCTTCTAAGATGGCTGCAGATACAGTGAGCTGTGTCTATTTATTGTTGAATAATCACATATCTGAACACTCTCAGATCCTTGTGGCTACGCCCGGAAGGCTCAAAGACCATATTGAGAACACTTCTGGATTTGCAACAAGATTGATGGGTGTGAAAGTCCTTGTGCTTGATGAAGCTGATCATCTCTTGGACATGGGTTTCCGAAGGGATATTGAGAGGATAATAGCTGCTGTCCCTAAGCAGAGACAAACATTTTTATTTTCCGCCACTGTACCTGAAGAGGTAAGTTTCAGTTTCTTGCACAAAGGCTCTCACTTTTGGGTTGGAATCTTGAACTGTGTTTTTTTGCTATCAAGGTCCGCCAAATATGCCATGTTGCTCTGAAACGGGATCATGAGTTCATCAATTGTGTTCAAGAGGGGACTGGGGAGACACATCAAAAGGTAAACGACTTCTCTTTAGATTAATTTGAGTGATGGCCTGCCATATGGTTGGATGTTATCAGTTTCTTATGTCTGTTTTATCTCCAGGTCACACAAATGTACATGATTGCATCACTGGATAGACATTTCTCGCTTCTATATGTGCTTCTTAAAGAACACATCGCAGATAATGTGGACTATAAGGTAAAATTATTTCTCAAGTGCCATTGTGAATAACCAATGTCTGTATTTCTGAACTAACCCGATTTCCTTGCTGTTGTAGGTTATCATTTTCTGTACAACTGCTATGGTGACAAGATTGGTGGCTGATCTGCTTAGTCAGCTAAACCTGAACGTCAGAGAGATCCATTCTAGAAAACCGCAGAGTTACAGAACCAGAGTTTCTGATGAGTTCCGCAAGTCCAAGGCTATTATCCTTGTCACATCTGATGTATCTGCTCGTGGTGTCGATTACCCTGATGTGTCATTAGTCGTACAGGTAACCATAGTTTTCTGACATGGAACTACGAATTTTATCTCTTTTGTTTTACTGAACTTGTTTGCTTTTGCAGATGGGATTGCCATCAGACAGGGAGCAGTATATACATAGACTTGGCAGAACCGGGCGGAAAGGTAAGGAAGGGGAAGGAGTATTATTGTTGGCACCATGGGAAGAGTACTTTATGTCATCTGTTAAAGACTTGCCCATCACCAAGTCTCCACTACCGCCAATAGACCCAGAGGCTGTGAAAAGGGTAAGCATTTTCATATAATATGGCAAACTCGCATGAAGTTGTGATTCTACTGAACTTGGCAAGCCTTTCTTAACTCATATTTGCTGGCAATCCAGAATGAGTAGGGAACTTGAAACTCATAACACAAAACTCTTTGAAGTTAAAAGCTATGATTTTTTCAAGGGTATGAGTGAGTATTGATGAGTATAATAAACTTGTTGAATTCAGGTGCAGAAAGGGCTAAGCCAAGTGGAAATGAAGAACAAGGAGGCGGCGTATCAGGCGTGGTTGGGTTACTACAAATCTCAGAAGATGATTGCAAGAGACACGACCAGACTGGTGGAGTTGGCCAATGAGTTTAGCCGCAGCATGGGACTTGGCAGCCCACCAGCTATCCCCAAAAATGTTCTTGGCAAGATGGGTCTCAAAAACGTTCCTGGTCTTAGAACCAAGTAGATATTGTTTTTTTTACCTAGTGATCTACTTTGGTCTTAAAACTTTAGTGTTTTGTAAGTGTATTGCTACACCCTGAAGGCTTTTCTAACCTAAAAGTCCTATAAAAGTTTACCTTCTTATGAAGGTCTTTTGTTTGTAATGGCGTATTTTCGATTTTCACTAAAAATGAAAAAAAGAAAGAAAAGTAATCAACTACATTTATCTTTTAATAATAGGTTGTTCTAATATTAAAACAACATTTCATAGCAATGGGAGCAAACAACGTGCCGTTTTTCTAATTTGTTGGCATTTTGGGCCACTCGCATCTGTACCCTTAAGCCCTAAAACATGTTTCCCTACAAAACCTTTTAAACCCTAAAACTACCGACGGCGGGAATTTGGTAGTTACAGAGCCTTACAGGTTAAGGCATAGGCTTCACCATTCTCCTCCATCTTTTCTCCTCTTGTTTCCATGAATTCCGATGGACCCAAATCCGGTAAGAAGAGACGAGAGATTCGCGCTAAACATTTGAAGAAGTTAACGAGTGACGAAGATGACAAGGACAACAATAAGGGTCTAAAGAGGGGAAGAGAAGGCAAATCTGATGTTGATGAGCCTCTTATTAAGAAAGCAGCTTCTACTAAGCCTGTAGATTCTCAGATTGCTAAAACTTCAGATTCTTACTTGTCAAAGACAAGGTACCTTTATTCCTGCTGCTTAGCTTAAGAGTATCATCTTATCAACTATGTGAACCATCTTAGAAGCAATTGCTCTTCTTTAATAGACTCTTTCTGGGTTATGCTTTGCATGTGAGGATAGCTTCAGAGCAATTCTTAGTTCTGTTTGATTGAGAATTCTCTTTATGGTAAAATGGTTTTAACAGATTTGATCAGTTCCCACTGTCTCCCTTATCGCTAAAAGGAATTGTGGATGCTGGATTTAAGACAATGACTGTTGTTCAGGAGGCCACTCTTCCTCTCATTCTCCAAGGTGAACAAGGCAGAAACTTTTGCATCTTTCTTCATGATTCCTTATGTTTTATCATTACTTACATTTTGAAGCTTGACTATTCCTCTAATATTTCTTCTTTTAACTCCTTGGTTTCCCAGGTAAAGATATCCTTGCCAAGGCCAAAACAGGCACTGGGAAAACCGTTGCTTTTTTGGTGAGACATTCTACCCTCTGTGTTCATTGATATAAGTTGGTCAGTTAGGATTTTATCAGGCTTTCAATTGGGATTTGTTGTTAATGTTGATGTTTCTTTTTCCAAGCTTCCATCAATTGAAGCTGTTATCAAATCTCCTCCTGCAAGCCGGGATAATAGACATCCCCCAATTATTGTCCTTGTGGTATGTCCTACTCGGGAACTTGCTTGTCAAGCTGCTGCAGAGGCAAACATCTTGCTCAAGTATCACCCATCTATTGGTGTTCAAGTTGTGATTGGAGGCACAAAGCTTCCTACAGAGCAAAGGCGCTTGCAAAAGAGTCCATGCCAGGTAATAATTTACATGTGTATTAATGTAAACTTATTTCTGAGCAAATCTTGCATTTCCATTGAGCTCGACTTCTCCGATGAAACCTGTTATCTGATCAATAGAGTTGCATTTTTTTTTCAAACTGATTTGGTTCTTCTTCACTAGAACAATATGGACTCATGGTTTGAATTACTAAGAATAGATAAATTGAGATAGATTATTATAAAAAGAATGTATTTCCCTGTCCAAGTTAGGATCTGTTATTTGATTTAGCCTCTTATGCATTTACATTTATTTTTTTAAATTATTTGTCTTCCCTGCAGTCAAAGTGGCTGCAGAGATGGTGATCTATGTCTCTGTATATATTTGAATAATAACTTATTTTCACAATCTCAGATTCTCGTGGCTACACCCGGAAGGCTCAAAGACCATATCGACAACACTTCTGGATTTGCAACAAGGTTGATGGGTGTGAAAGTCCTTGTGCTTGATGAAGCTGATCATCTTTTGGACATGGGTTTCCGAAGGGAGATTGAGAGGATAATAGCTGCTGTCCCTAAGCAGAGACAGACCTTTTTATTTTCCGCCACTGTACCTGAAGAAGTAAGTTTCAGTTTCTTGCACAAAGGCTCTCACTTTTGGGTTGGAATCTTACACTGTGTTTTTTTGCTATCAAGGTCCGCCAAATGTGCCATGTTGCTCTGAAACGGGATCATGAATTCGTCAATTGTGTTCAAGAGGGTGCTGGGGAGACGCATCAAAAGGTAAAAGATTGTTTTTTTAGTTCATTTGAACGAATGGCCTGCCATATGATTGGATGCTAATGGTTTTTCATGTCTGTTTTATCTCCCAGGTCTCACAAATGTACATGATTGCATCATTAGATAGACATTTCTCGCTTCTTTATGGTCTTCTGAAAAAACACATCGCAGATAATGTGGGCTATAAGGTATATTTTGTTCCTCCAATGCCATAGTGAATCACCACTGTATTTCTGGATTAACATGATCTCCTTGCTTTTATAGGTTATTATTTTCTGTACAACTGCTATGGTTACAAGATTGGTGGCTGATCTGCTTGGTAAGCTAAGCCTTAACGTCAGAGAGATCCATTCTAGAAAACCACAGAGTTACAGAACCAGAGTTTCTGATGAGTTCCGCAAGTCTAAGAGTATTATCCTTGTAACATCCGATGTATCTGCTCGTGGTGTTGATTACCCTGATGTGTCACTAGTCGTGCAGGTAAACCATTTAGTAGTTTTTCATCATGGGATTGAACAATAGCTACAAAGTTAATCGTTTTTTACTGAAGTAGTTTTGTATATATTGCTTTTGCAGATGGGATTGCCATCAGACAGGGAACAATATATCCATAGACTTGGCAGAACTGGGCGGAAAGGTAAGGAAGGAGAAGGTGTACTATTGTTGGCACCGTGGGAAGAGTATTTTCTATCTTCTGTTAAAGACTTGCCCATCACAAAGTCGTCTTTACCGCCAATTGATCATGAGGCTGTGAAAAAGGTAAGCTTTTTCAAATACTACTGCAAACTTTAGCAAGAATTTGTGACTCTACTGAACTTGGCAAGCCTTTCTTAAATTATATTTGCTAGCAAGTAGCAAACCAGAACAACCAGAATGTTATAAACTGTATTTGGAATATGTATGCAAAGTACCAATGTTTAGAATAGATATTCACATCTCATAACACTAACCTCTGTGAAGTCAGAAGCTACGATATTCTTAAGAATATATGACTCGAGTGAGCATTGATGGGTGTGAGAAACATGTTAAAATCAGGTGCAGAAAGGGCTTACCCAAGTGGAAATGACAAACAAAGAGGCGGCATATCAGGCCTGGTTGGGTTACTACAAATCTCAGAAGAAGATTGCAAGAGACACGACCAGACTGGTGGAGTTAGCCAATGAGTTTAGCCGCAGCATGGGACTTAGTATCCCTCCAGCTATCCCTATAAATGTTCTTGGCAAGATGGGTCTCAAAAACGTTCCTGGTATTAGAGTCGCTCCAGGTTTTGACAAGAAACATACAAAGAGAAATAATCGTTCCCGCTAGACTTTTTTCTTTTTTTTGCTTTATGGTATTTTTTTGAAACTTTATTGCTTTTCAAGGTATGACATTTTGTTATTGTTGTAACTTGTAACACTTTGATTTTTTAACTATAAAAAATCTACAAAAGTTGCATTCTTAAGAATTTCATTTGGTAATTCACTAATTTATCAAGATCCGGTTTGTTTCGAAGCCCAAAAAAACGAAAATAAATATTATGTGTTGGCCTTTCCCATGACAGAACCCATTTTGTTGTAAAGATATAGATCTGTTGAACTTGTAGTATCACAATAATAGATGATTATAGAACCTGTAGTCCTTCGTTTGCTTCTGAATCATAGCTAAGGCTGTTTAACATTGTAAATTCTTCTTTAAAGGTGTGGGTGTGATCACCTGGATTTGAATAGGAGAACTGACTTTCTTCTCCAAGTAGTTGTATAGATTCAAATGTTGAACTACCAATTTAATGTTTTGATTTTTTAATACAAAAACAGGCATACGATTCCCCTAGACTCCAAGTAAAAATGTTTATTTTGGAGCTAAATAAACAAAATCAGACATAGATATGCAATGAAGCATTTTAGGAATAGTAATAAAACTTCTAATTTCCCCGCAAAAACAAAAAAATGGAACCTCAGAATCGAAGAGTCACTGAAAAGAAGGTGATGATGAATGGTAACAGAAAAAAAAACATCTTTCTACTCAAGCTTTGCCTTCACCATAACATAAGGCTACACCTTTTTGTTGTAACTTGTAAAGCTCTACTAAACCCTAAAGGAGCAAAAAATAAAACAGAGAAGGCAAGCTGAAAATGGTAAGTTTGGCTATGGCTGCAACTGCAACTACAAGCTTTTCCTATACAGAATTGAATTCTGCTACGTTTAGTCCTCTTTCCACTTGTTAACATATCTCAAGAAGGCACTAGCTGGATTTTCATGAAGTGGAGCTCTTACACGGGTAGATCTCCTAACCACTGCTTCTTCCATTTCTATGTTGTGAGCAATGTCCTTCGTCCTCTTTTGTAGTGTAGAGCTGCAAATCACAAGTCATTGCCAGGTTTTAAAGCCGTGACACATAAACAAGGAGACTTCGATAAATGTGGTGTTACTCTTCTACATCATCAAAGTGAGGATAGAACAAGTGACCAGAATAATAAATAATGCAGGTTATGCAAAAGAGAAATGGAAGCTATAAACTGACCATATTCTGTCATAGAATGTCTCTAGCTGTGTATGTAATGACAGTTCCCTCTCTCCTTTACGGTTTAGTGATCCCATCAATGCATCGAGCTGGAAATTAAGAAACATACACAAAATTGAACAAGATCTATACAATCAAATGATCAAACAAGGAAATGAACCATGTGGGTTGATGGTACCTCTTCCTTGGAGGTATAATAACCCCATTCTTTGGAATCAGAATCCTCAACAAATATCCTTCCATTGCTTCGGAACCACCAGTACCTGTTGTAATCCCGATCTTTACCCAAGGGGTTTGTACGTATGACTATTTTCTCCATCTCTCGTTCATAATATTGCCTCTGTTTGTAAAAATAAAAATTTCAGACTTGATGGGTAAAAAAGCACACACGATGCGGGCATATATGCAAACAACCAAATAT